TCTCAGAAACTCACAGGGGCAGTTCTGCCTGTCCTAAGGGTCGCTGTGGGTTGGCATGGCCTTGATGACATTGAGTTTGGTGTGTTTTTGGTAGGTGCTTGGTTGCATTTCTGTGTTCTCAATTGTAACACATGATCGGCACACCTCTCGCTGGACCAGTCCCAAGCTGTGTTCATTAGCAGGGTACATACTAGGTCTGAAGCCTGGCGGGGGCAGGTCTCTACTGTTTGTCATTTAATAGCGTTTTGTTTCTATGGGCTGCTTTCCTTTGCAGATGAAGTTGGTGACTAGCTTTTCCCTTCCTCTGAAGAACGGTGCTGGGGTTTGGATCAGGCTTCATTGCATTTGTCAAGGGTTTTCAGTAACGCTGACATGTTCACTCTATTTAGTCGACCTATCCAAGATCTTGGGACACTGTTGCTTTTGTGTAAGGTCTTTTGGGGGGTTTCTTGTAGGAGTGTTGTCTAGTTTTCTTTGTGTAAATCTTTTGATTCTCTGGTAAGATGTATTCCTAGATATTTTATCTTTAGGGCAATTATTGTAAATGATACTGTTCTTTTAATTTCCTTTTGGCATCATCCTCTGTAATATACAAGAATCCAACAAATTTCTGTATGTTACTCTTATAGCCTCCTATGCTGCCAATTTTTTTCAATTAACCCCATCAATTTTAAAAATTGAATCCATGTATTTTTTTTTCTATACAGGATTATGTCATCTGCCAATGGGGTCTTGTTTAATCCGTGCCAGTGTGAATGTCTCTGGTGTCTCTCTGATGTCTGATAGCTCTGGCTAAGACTTCCAGGACTATCTACTAAATAAGAGTGGTGCTAAAGAGCAGCCCTATCTGGTTCCTGTACAGAGAGGATTTTCCCCCCAATTTCTTTCTATTAAGTGAGATACTGACTGTTGGTTTTGCATACATGGCCTTAATCAGGTTGAGAAATTTCTTTCCTACTCCTTTTTTTATTGAGTGTTTTTATCAAGAATGGCTGGTGAATTCCATCAGATGCCTTTTCTGCATCCACGGTTACCATCATACGGTTCTTATCCCTTATGTTGTTTATATAGTGAATTACATGGATTGTTTGCTAATATTCAATAATCCTTGCATATCTGGTAGTAATCCCACTTCATTATGATTAAAGAAATTTTTTGTTGCATTCTACTGCCTAGAATTTTATTGAAAACCCTGGTGTCTCCATTCATCACTTTGCCCAGCTTACGTATCAGGGTTATCCCTGCTTCATCAGGACTCATTGTTTCTTTACATCTTTGATTTTCTTCATTTTTCTCTCCTCTGGAAGAGGAGAGACCAGTAGTTATATCTTAGATGGTTACTCACAAGCTTTTCAGACCTGTGTTAGTCTGGGTTGACTAGAGAAACAAATTCATAGACACTCATATATGTATATAAGAAAGAGGTTTATATACTTGAGCAATCGAATATTGAGAAAACATCCCAGCCCAGTCCATAAGTCTGATATTAGCCCATATGTCTGTTACCAGTCTATAAATGCCTCTTTAGACTCATGCAACACATGTAATGATACAGAATGCAGGAAGATCACAGGTTAGTGGGCAGAAAGTCTTGTGGATCCAGTGGTGGTGGAAGCATCTCAGTGCTGGCAGGGACCCCCACATGGCTCCTCCAGCTCCAGGACTCTGGCTGCATCTGTGTAGCTCCATGTAGCTTGTCAGCAGGAAGAGGAAGCAGAGAGAGCGTGTCCTGCCACCAGGGAGGAAGAAAGGAGTTCCCAGAATCCGCACAGAGGCCTCATTGGCTATGGCCTGCTTGACAGGCTAGACTCCTCCCCTTTGCAAGTTGACAGGAGATTATGTAACTGCCACAAGAGCCCAGTCACTACTCACTAAAATAGACTATAGAACATTGTCTATGTGGACTACGTTACACCAATTGACCTTAGTGTCCCACGAAACTTATGGTCCTGAGCTACCAGGCCCCAGGACTCATTCCCTCAAGGTATTTGGCTATATGGCTAAGACACTTGCAGGAGCCCTGATACGTTGGGGTCAGCAGTTCAAAACCACAGCCATTGCACAGGAGAAAGACACAGAGTGGCAATCTTGGAAACCCACCAGGGCAGTTCTACACTGTCCTATAGGATTGTTACAAGGCAGAATCCATGTGCTGAGAGTGAGCAGTTTTCTATTTTCTGGAAGGAGTTTGCATAACTTTGCCCCAGTATGTTCCACTATGTTCATGGCTATATTGTCAGTTTAGGAAACTATATTTGTAGAGTCCTATCCTCCTCCCCACCTGTGCAGTATCTCTCTGTGTATCCATTCATAGGCTGTTGTTCCTGTTACCGCCGGCGTGTGTGCATGACAATATGCACCTCTGTTGCCTTGAACTCTTGTGCTCTGCCCAGTGCCTCTCTCTGTCCTGACCACTTTGTGTTTACCTCCCCCTCATTGAAGAAGCCCCCGTGGTTTAGTGGGTTACACCCAGAACTACTAACCCCCAAACCGGTGGTTCGACCCCAGCAGTTGCTCTGAGTGAGAAAGAGGAGGCTTCCTACTCCCGTGAAGGTTTACAGCCTTGGAAACCTCCTCTGGCCACTATGCGTCAACTCAACGGAATCAACTCCATGGAAGTGAGTTTGCCCCCTGCCTCCCCCTGTATATGATCGCTCCCTCCGCCCATCACCCTCAGTGGCCGGTTTCTTTCCTCGTCTTCCCCTGGGGCCCTTCAGGGACGGTGTCCTCCTGTAAGTCAACCTTTGCTTGAGTTTTTGCAACCCTGGCCTCCTCTGTCTTTTTGTGACTGACCAGGTTCACGCAGCACGGTGTCTTCTCCACTAGGAGGCATGCTCCAGATTCTTCATCCTTCTTGAATGCTGTCAAGTCTGACGTGTGTGTGGTTATGTGTGCGCGCGCGCGCGCGTGCCCCATAGTTTTCTTAGTCATCCCTACTCCAGCGGGCACTTGACTTGTGCCCACCTTCTTGGCTAACGTGAGTAGTGCTGCCATGGACATGGGTGTTCGGACATCTGCAGAAATGGCTTCCTTAGTGAGTGAGTGAGCTCCCTGTCCCCGAGGGCAAACAAGTGGCTCCCTGTCTAGCTGCGTGGGTCCGTCACACAGAGGACACAGGTGGCTGGCAGCCCTGAGAGGAGGGTGCCGATGGAAGGGTCTGCCTCCACCTGGAAGTCCCGTGTCCTGAGCTGTAGGCGCACTGATGCTAGCTCAGGATTGACGATCTTTTCTGGAAAGGGCTGGGCAGTCAGCGCTTCCCCCTGTACCAGCTGTCAAATTTCTGCGGCAACGACGTGACTGTCCAGCTAGCATGAGCCACCACGGACAAGGTGTAAGTGGACAAGCTGGCTGCGTTCCCAAAGCTGGGGTGGGGGTGGGGGGCAGACAGTTAGCCATCTACGATGCAACTACTGGCCTCTCCTCATCCAGAGGAGGGCAAAGTGAAGAAAATCAAAGACGCAAAGAAACAACGAGTCCTGATGAAGCAGGGTTAACTCTGATACGTAAGCTGGGCAAAGTTGATGAATGGAGACACCAGGGTTTTCAATAAAATTCTCGGTGACAATGTAACAAAACGTTTTCTAAAAATCATAATGGGATTAGTGGCATATAGGCAAGGATTATTGAGTATTAGATAAACAATGTAGTTCACTATATAAACAACATAAGGGATAAGAACCGTATGATGGTAACCGTGGATGCAGAACAGGCATCTGATGGAATTCACCAGCCATTCTTGATGAAAACACTCATTACAAAAAGAAGTAGAAGGGACATTTCTCAACCTGATTAAGGGCAGGCCCCAGTGCCCATAGATAAGGGCTTCCTGGAGGAGGCGGCCCCTGAGCCCAGGAAGCTGCAAGAAGCAGGAGGGTGTTCTGGCCTTGGCCTCCTTCACCCAGAGCTCATGGGGTGGTCCTAAATGCTGTCCTTCCCTCTCTGAGCGCCCCCCCCCCACGCCCAAATCCTGGTCCCCCTGTTCTTTCTGGCCCAGTGCATGCTCTGGCAGCGTCGAAGAGATCATTCGGAACATCTTTGACCCAGCTCTTGTGGTTGTTCGCCGAGGGACGCCTGGCCCAGATTCCTGGGCAATAGAGTCTCCTCGCTGTGGGTGGTGACGAAAAGCAGGCTGTGCCCTCCAGGGACGCCCCTGCTGGCTTCCGTGACAGAACCCTGCCGGCCTTCTCTGTAGGAGGAGGGAGCTTCCGGAGTGCTGACTCTGGAGGCGTGGGGAGATGGGCTGAGGCGAGTCTCCCTGGCTTCAGCCTCGGCACTTTCAGTCCACTGTCAACCCAGGGCTGGCTGACCAGTCCCCCAAGCATGGGGCCAGCAGGGCTCCGGGGAACTCCCACCCCATCCCTTCCACGACCCCGTCCCCGTGGGGGGGCCTGGGCAGCTGACGTCTTCCTGTCCCCTCACAGGAGAGCTGTACCGCGTGTCCCTGAGACGGCAGAGGTTCCCAGCCCAGGGGAGCATGGAGAGCCACGAGGACAGCGAGGTGGGCTGGCTCCCCGGGTCACCTCAGGATGGTCGGGGGAGCCCTGGGCTGGCAGGGAGGCGGCCGAGTTCTCCCCAGCTCCTCCCTTGACTTGCTCAGTCACCTATCCTCCTTTGGGCCTCAGTCTCCCACCGGAGCCCCTTCCAGCCCCACCGCCGAAGGGCTCGCCCACCTGGCAGCCCGTGTCCCCTCTACGAAGGCACCTGTGTCGGCTGGAGAGCCCCTCTGACTGCGGCCCCAAGACCAGCGGGCCACTGTCTCCCCGCTTGTGTGTGTCCCTCCCCACTCCCTGCCACCGTCCCTTCTCTCTCTGACGGCTGTCCCTCTCAGGAAGGCTGTGCTCCGCGCTCCTGCAAGACCCACGTCCTCCTGCTGGTGCTGCACGGGGGCAGCATCTTGGACACAGGCTCGGGGGACCCGTCCTGCAAGGCGGCCGACATCCACACCTTCAGCTCCGTGCTGGAGAAGGTCACCCGCGCCCACTTCCCAGCCGCGCTGGGCCACATCCTCGTCAAGTTCGTCCCCTGCCCTGCCATCTGCTCAGAGGCTTTCTCACTCCTCTCTAAGTGAGTCCACTGTTGGGAGAGGGGGCCGTTAGATAGAGGGGCCGCCTCTGCGGGGTGGGCACCTGGTGGGCAGGAGGGTGCCTGCTGAGACCCCTGTGGGCTGCCAGGCCCAGGATGAGTATGGCCATCACTGGGAGGT